AGGAATGCTTGAAATGAACGCAAGTAACTGTCTAATCATCTGAAAAGAATTCTTTATTGGTAATAACCGGAATCAGTTGTCATTCTAAAGGTGGAAATATTTGTGCCAGAGGCTGTTAATGCTGAAGTATGTAATGTGCAACATCAGATGTTTTGCTCAACAGAAGCCTGAAAGAAATACTGTCGTATTAGATAGTAGAAACAGGAAAGTAAGACAAGCTTTCAAGATGTTATGTATGCTTTTTTAATGCCTGAGATGGATAATTTTGTATATGATTTGATGCAATTCAGGACCTGGGCTGGTGCCCAAAAGCAGTGTATTTACAGAGAAATGAGTGTGTTTTGGGAGTTCAGAGGTGCAGGAGTACCATGATATCAGCTTTTACTGGCCGGGGATGTTTCTTTGGGTATGGCAGGCAATAAATAGAAAGCCCCAGATGCGTTAAGATCAAGGATATCCTTTAAGTACAGGCAGCTGCTAAAATACTTACTTTTGTAATTCATCTGTCGTTAGGATGGCTATGTGCTTGAGTCCTAAAATCGCTTTCTCACACTAACACTATGAATATTACATTCAAGGACATTCGGCTGAAACAACTGGTGTCGTGGCTGTGCCTAAGAAGCAGAGGCAGCCTAACTGCATTCTAAGCAAGAGACTTTCTTGTAGTAACTGCTTCAGGGCTGGTTGCAGTGTGTGAATCTGGCTAAAAATTTGTAAATGACTGGTATTTGTAGGTTCCTCTGAACTTTGGCTTGCTGATAACGGAAAAAAAAATACAGTGCTTAGGCTTCTACCTTGCTTTGTATGTCTTTGTTTTCAGTGGTAGTCAGACACCGTCTTTGGTTTTGTCCAACATCCAGTGTTTTTACTTTCTCAATTTCTGGAGTTTCTATATGGTGTGGGATAGGGCCACAGTTCTTCCTTTTTCCAAATGACCTAGTAGCAGGGAAAGCCTTTCTCACCGCAGAGCAATGGAAACAGCTGATCATTTAAAAACAGGAGCATGTGAAACACCACACGATTCAAAACAAGACTGATAACCCTTGTAACTTCCATACCAGCAACGCATTGGTGAAAAATACATTTTTGGGTCTCTGGAATGCATATAGGCGAAGCTCCATGTTTCCAACGTACACCTGCAGTGAAAATGTACACTGCCTTTCCCCGCTGTCTAAAAACCTTTTGCCTTCAAATCCCTCACTCTAGAACAGGCTAGATGGGACCTGCTTATCCCCTGCTTCACCCTTCTCTAGGTCCTCAAACATAGGCAGACACAGATAAATACATAGGATTTTTCTGAGGCTACTGGAAACTTTATTTCATCACCTCTTCACAACAGAGAAAGTTGGCTGGTCGGGGAATAATCCAGAATTTTTGGGAACACCAACACTTTTTCAAACAAGAGTCAGCACAGAGGACAGACTCAGCACAGTTTCTTCCAAAATGAACTAGCTGAGCTGCACACAGTTTAGTACCTGTGGTAAAAATCTATTTTGCTTAAATAATCAAGTCCCCATTTCACTTCTTCTAAAAAATGCTTGCCTTTATGTTGCCAAAAAATACCTTCTTACTCAATTCATGTTGAATCCAAAGAAATGTAAAAGAAATGGTTATTGATTCTACTATCGACTTAAATGGGATGGAGGAAAATGAGTTGCAACAGAAAGACAACTATATTGAAAAAGAACTTGTTCATCTTTTGAATCCCTTTATGGTTTAGGCAGTTTTTCTGAAAGGCAGCTAAACTTGCAGAACTTGATTGGTTTCTGTCTATACAATGCTGTTTGTGATTAAAGGCAGTTTATAGATGAAAAATGTCACAACTAATGGTCATTTTTATAATATATGCAGAAAAAAGTTATATACTTGGAAATACAGTTGCAATCACTCTGCATGAAGAACTCCTTGAAATCAAGAGTAGTTCTGTATGAGATGCTGCACTTTTCTCCTAATATTAAGTAATGCCTTTTTAGATAATGAAAGATTCATTTTTTATCACTTACACTTGGCACTTACTCTTAGTGCTTTTGCTAGACTATCCTGCGGCATTTTACAGACGTGTTTAAGTATTGTTATCTCCACTTGACAATGGAACAAATGATATCTAGAACAGTATGCTGACTTTTCCAAGGTAGGAGGAAGTTGGCATCAGCATCAGGAACGGAACTTAAGTGTGTAGACCACTGGTCTATGCCACTGGACTGTACATCATCTCATGCATAAAAAACTACATAAGGCAATGGTAGAGAGAAACTAAAATAAGTAGACTAGAGAAGATAGTTCAGGGAGAATTTTAAAATGTAAGAACACCTCATTGATACAGAACCATAATGCTTTATGTGAGGTAACTGAGTCAGGACTGCCGTGAGACGACCGTTTGAGTTAGATGTTTGGCATTAAATAATGTGATTCTATATAAGGTTTTAAGCACATACGATATTAGGAAAGTATCCCAACTATGCAATGCAAAGAGAACCATTCTATTTTTATTACAGATAAATTTTAATCCAGAATCTTCCATAATGAGAATAACTGCTAATCAAGGCTAATGTTCAAGCAGTCCAAGATCATCTCATTTCAGGATCTTGGAAATTTCAGAATTTAGAGTCTCCTGTAATTCTCGGGAATCCCACTCTTTATCACTGCACTGTGCTGCCCTGTCAAATTTCAGATGCATACTAAGACAAACCCATGGAAAACTTTGACCCTTTTTCTTTTTTTTTCCTTTAACACATACAAGAATCTTAGCTTGTGTCTGTATTTGATTAGGTGGAAACATTATTGGTGGTCATGGGAAAGGCATTGGAAATCTTGGAATTAAGTCAGGACATGGGATTTGTTACTGCTTCCCCAGACAAAACTGTTACTGTGAGAAAGATGATATCAAGGGTAAGTAAGTCTAAACCTTACCTGCTGTTCTCCTATTAATCTTTTCCTCTGTTTGTATCTACCATCTGTACATATACAATGACTTAAACTTGTGGGTATGTTAATAAGCAATATCTTTTGGTCAGAGACTGGTAATATAAAATTAATTAAGGACTGGCACCTTGACTTCTACTATGGAGCCTGAAAATCTCCAGAGGGGGGTTATTTCTATCCTTGGTTAAAGATTCTTTTCTTATCCATTACTCCATGACAAACAGGTTGGTCATCCTTTCATTTCCAGCAGCATTTGCATTTCAGTGAGACTCACCTGATATTTGCAAAGACAGCTAGGAGAACTAGAATGACGACCTTTATTACTTGCAAGTAATTCTAGTCTCCTAATCACTTCTGAAAATCTCAGCTTCAGAATGTCAGAGAGAGCCAGCACCCATTGTGTTAGGAGGAGGAGTGGATTACTGTTTTCATTGTCCTTTATTTAAACAGAAAAGCTCTACACAGTTGTTTGAAAAAGATTGATGAGGATTAAATACTGTGTAGACTTTTTTAAAAAAATAATTCTTATTATTGCTAATGATAAATATCACACAAAATATTTTAAAACTGAATTGTTTGGAATATATCTCAATTTACTCTTGAGTAAATTTTCAGTAGGCATAAGAAGAAAAAGAGGAAGTATAAAGCTTCTGGCTTTTGCTTTTTTTATTTCTAGAAAGATATTGTGCTGTTTCCACTTATTTCCAGGGTCCAGGTTGCAGATGTAGCCAAGTTAACTATGTATCTGAAGTCAGGATTATCTGATGAACAACAGCACAAGGACTCTATTCTGGATATCCCAGTTCCTTCAGGAAGCGACTCCCTAGGAGTGCTGTCTAGGGGCACACAGACTTAAAGAAACTTAAGTTTCTAAAGTAAGACACTGAAAGTGCTTCTGCAAAAGGGGAGGTAGTTAAATAGGGAGGAAAAAATGCATATTGCTTTAGAAGCAGTCGCACCATTAGGCAACATTTTCAGAAATAATAATTTTGTTAAACACAAAGGAGAGATATTCTAAATTTCCTTATAATATAAAAAGTTGAAGAGAAATATTTTTTAATATCTAACGATTGACATAATGAATTAAATTTGCATTTGAAGAAGATTTTATTTAATGGGTTGAATAGCTCTAGCACAAACTGTTTTCCACAAGCAAAACTCAGTCATGTTTCTCCACAGAGATAAGTGGTAGCAAAAGATTAAGCAGGCTGGGTTTTAAGACTGTCGGATGTAGCCTACGTCTATAAAGATAAGGCCTATGAGGTCAAGCTACCTATCCTTACATTTACACAGGTAGCTAGACAAACAGTTACCTGCTGGTGTCCAAAATAAAAAAGAATTAGTAGGTGCAGTGGGAATTAGTTATTAGGCTTTCCTCTAGGTTTTTAAATTATTTTGAGTTCTGTTTCTGTCACACACCTGTGTGTGTCATGTACTGCCAAACTGGAAGTAGGAGACAACAAGCAAAGTTCTAAGCTCTTCTTGGTCCACAGAGCAACTATGTGATGATGTGTGCAAGACAGTGATAGCAGGGGCAGTGCTGCTGTCCTTCATCATCTCCGTGCTGCTTTCATCCTATTTCATCCATCGGTACCACAAGAATTCTCCGAAGCCGCCTATTGCCTCTGCAGAAATGACGTTCCGGCGCCCAGCCCAGTCCTACCCCATCAGTTATTCTTCCACTAATGTCCGCCGACCTTCTTTAGATTCCATGGAGAACCAGGTGTCTGTAGACACCTTTAAAATACCAGTAAGTCTGACGTCATTTTGCACGCTCTTTTTCTATGTCTTTCTTTTTCCTAAAGAATGTAGTTTATGTGTGCAGAAAATGTTACAGAAATGCAATCTGTTCATAGAAATATCCAATTCAAATAACTAAAAGAGAAACCATGTGTACAGGCAGGGAACTGAAGGACTTAATGAGTAATTGGATAAATGATATATTTTTCTATTTTTGTTATGTTTTAATATAATGTATATCTGAGGCCTAATTTGAGCCAATGTTTTTTCTAAATGTAACTCTACATTTGACAGTAGTGTAGTTTTACTTTGTCCAATTAAATTCTAATAATTAGTAGGTTTGTGGTCTCTGTGGTGGTTGATAGAACCACAAGGGTAAGTTTAAAACAGAACAGGCTGTAGGCGTCAGCTGGAGTGTGAGTTTTACCCACATTTTAAGGATTTTTCTGTAGTCACACTATCATACCTTTAATTTATTTTTTTCTGTGTTGAATCACATACTATCCAGGGTGCCTGCCAGCTGGTGCGTATTCATGGACCAACATGGTAGAGAAACACTGCCACTTTATATGACATATGTGGCAACATCAAATCTATTTGGATGTTCGATATTGAGGTCTTCACAGACCTTGTGCTCCGTTTGCTTTAATTTCTTGTCTGGTCTGTACATCTGTCATCATTTTGCAACTATAAGGTTTAATAACACTAATTTCATAAGAGGAGGATTGTTGTCTCTGATGGAACTTTTAAGGGAAAGCCTTATTCCGTGAATAAACCTCCTCTATGAAGTCCAAGGTCACATATTCTTAGTTATTCTGAAAGCAAGCATTTACCCTGTATCACTTCATGTTTCATTTGTATCCGATTTCCCAGACCTGTAAATATGATCCATTATCCGTAGACTACATGTAGAGCCTCTTTTGAAGTAGGTGACGTCAAGGTAATGGAAAACCACTTTCAAAATAGCTAGAATTCAGAAGCTTTTATAGGAATACACCGATATTGATATAAAGAGCAACCAAACATTGCACACTGAAGTGTACTTATCCCTGAAGAATGGTTTCCTATTGAACAATAATGCTTTGGGTGTAGCTAGCCACGTCTTTTCTTGCTTCATCTTATAGGGTTCCTTTTCTCTCCTGCAGGAAGATCCGAAGTGGGAATTTCCTCGGAAGAACCTGGTTCTAGGCAAGACTCTTGGAGAAGGAGAATTTGGAAAGGTCGTCAAGGCAACAGCATTCCGACTCAAGGGAAGAGCTGGCTACACCACTGTGGCAGTGAAAATGCTAAAAGGTACATTCCTATCTGTGTCTGAAATTATTTGAAAACTATTTTTTGTAACCTCTGAATGGATTTTAAGAGGGACTAGCATGAAAGTAAAAGGTCAGCTGAAGTCAACCATTGTCACAGCCTCCGTTTTTTCCAGCATTCTGTTATATTCTGACAGATTTCTTAGTTTAGGAGCTGGCATCACATAGTTCCAAATAAGTAATTTTAAAAGATTCTAATTCATGATGTGCAAGGAGCCCCTGACTTAACATAGCAAATGTATTAATTTTGTTTGGCATTGATGGAAATACTGCAAGGGCTTGTTAAAGGTTCCTGATTTTTTTTTCCCTCTACCCAGTTTTCTTTGACAAAGCTTTTAAAATAAAACGTTATAATAGACATATTAAGTTACTTTTCCGAGTAATAATTCCATCTATTTTTATACTTTCTGATCTGATTATGAGGAGTTCTGACAGACTGGCTTGAATAGCCCAGTGCTGTCTCCAGGTGTCTTCATTTTTCCCTAGGACTTTAAAGCTGGGGAAAACAAAGAATGCCTAGATAATGTTGAGATCGTAATGAGACCCTGAGCTCTTGTTCCTGTCTCTGTTCAGTATTTTTTAGACCCAAATATACCTGCTTCTTTCCCATATAGAAAAAGAAATTGTACTGAAAAAAAACGCATGAAGAAATTATTTTTTTGTTTGGTCTCTGAAGTAGAAAGTCTCCAGTTATCACTGTACACTTCAGGTGGAAGCGGTTGTAATGCATGGCTATTGCCGCCTTTACTGTTATATATATATATGAGTATAGATTTTGCATATCTAATGACTGAACCTGGTTTCCAATAAGGACTTCACTAGACATGCAATGATAGTGAAGGAGGTCAGTGGAAATGCTTAAACCAGTTCCTTCAGAAGTCCCTCTATTCACCACAGCCTGAAAGATGAAATAGGTATGAAAATTGTGTCCTTCTCTACTGTCTTGTGTGCTAATTCATATGTGCATGTAGTCCCTATGTATCAGGCACCTAGGAATGTATGAGATGAAGAGGGGAAATAACCTTCAGAAAGGCTTACGGATGCAAGAAGATTCCTTTTGCTGGGTTGCTAGCTCTAGCTGAATGACCTCAACCACTCGCTGCTGCTTATAAGTAAAAACGTGTAATTGTAAGAAAATGTTATACTAATTACCATTTCTATTATATGTCAAGTTGTTTTTAAAACAAAACAAAAAAACACATCAACTGCTGCTTGAGAGCAAAGATGCTGCATATCATCATTTTACTAAAGAAATAAATGCATTATGAAGTGCATGCCTCTTGCATTGCAAGAGGTTCAGTGGGAAATGGGTCATATGGAGGAAATCTAGGAACTCAAGTCTTTTCGGAAGTGAAGACTAGTTAACCATTCCTTCTAATACTCAAGAGATGACCTGTGTATCATCATCAATAGAATAGTCTTAGTAATCGCTTAATTTCATATTTATTTTGTGCACTTAGTGTCACTGATTTTCTAGCACATTTTCATCAATAGCATGCAACAGAGTTAAGGTTCCAAGACTTAGTGGTAAAAATATTGCTTTTCCTTGCAGATAATTTCACATTCAGCTTTCCCTAGCTGTCGTGAAGGAAAGAATTTACAGATTGATAATGTGAAGGAGTAACCCTTTATTTTAAGCACCTTATTTTAATAAATTGATATGACATTTACAGTAATACTTCAGACTCTAATGAATCCCTTTGTAATGTAAATTACGTTGCAGATAGTCACCTGAAATTCTACTTTCTGACTCAACTGTGGAAAACATCTGTCATTCTGCAAATATTTATTTGTTGTTACCAGTTTAACTTTACTGTTAATGCATGACAGCTCAAGTATAAGTAACATTGCGTTAGTCCACAGTGGTCTTCATAATGCTGTCAGGAAGTATAAAGGACAGTTACTTTGGATGAGGCAAACATCACCCATTCTTTCCCTGTAACAGATGCAAAGAGGGTAATTTGTCCAAGTATGAGGGACTCTGCACTGGCTGTCTCTAAAAGGGAGCGGTAGGTATACCAGTATGTTAATGGAGGCCTCCTGCTTATGGCTGAAAAGCTACCTCCTGCCTGAGCTGTGTAGCTGGGCACGATCTGTGGTTAAGAACAGACCAGGGTAGGACTCTCCCTACTTTGTCCAACTTGGCGTTATGTACTGGGCAGGGAACAAGGAGCAGTAAGGAAGTAGCTGAGCCAAAACATTCTTGCAGCTATGGATGGAGGTTTAAAGGAACAGAGGATAATTTTTTCATCCCGCTATTACCACTTTTCTCATATGAATTAAATCTGACCTCCTGCATGATACAAATGCCCCCGTTACAATAAAATTAAAGGGGAAAACACCAACCAATACATAAACAGACATTATTTGCAATTTGTAAAAACAAAGGGCATAAAGCTTCAGAGACAATTGTTTCCATTTGTGCACCATCAAAGTTAGTTTTTCCAGCAGACAAACTGGCATGGTACATGGGGAACTTTGTTCTGTTCTTGCACATGCTACACAGTTCCACACCTAGAAGAAAAGGACTTTCTCACAGGCATTAAGTTGATATTGTTCATTTTTGTTTTACATAAATGCGTATTTTTTTGTAGTCCCTACCAGTAGTGAGAGACCACCCTATATTGCACTCCTAGAGGTAGAAGACGCTGAAGTCTGACTGGAGGTTCAGACTATGTGATAATATATGGCCGATACAAACAAATAAAATACAAACAAAGAAATTTTTCC